AGATCCTTAATTTAATCATATGTGATGTCCCTTTTGCTGTGTTAGGTAACGTACTCACAGATTCCGGGGATTAGGATATGAACGTTTTTGGGGAGCTATTTTTCTGTCTACTCTAGGGGAGGGGTTCGTTTCTAAAAGGAAGGAGGAAGAGAATGAACACTGGGAGATAATTAGCTTTGACTATATTGTACTATTGCATTTTTGCCAATTTTATGGGTGTGGATATATTTTAAAAGTATAAAGTTGTCAGCTGGTGAATTTTTTGAAGGCAGGACTTTTTTCATACTCTGTAATCCTTGGAGTTCAAATATCTAAGTAATCATAAAAGCAAACTCTATTTTTGAGGTCCACGTCCTTTCTCATGGGTGAACATTTCATACATCAGTCTTCTATTTGCCTTCCATGAATGGCTTTTCCAGCTACCGTTCTCCTTGCAAGGAGCTCTGGTGGTGCAGTGCCTAAGACATTTGGCTGCTAACCAGAAGGTTGATGGTTCAAACCCACCAGCCACTTTGAAGAAGGTACACGGGACAATCTACTTCTGTAAAAATTTACCACCTTGGAAACCCAATGGGGGTCACTATGAGTCAGAATCAACTTGATGGCAGTAGGTTTTTTTTATTTTTATTTTTTATTGTCCTTGCAGTTTCTTCAGGGAAGCTAGCAGGGCAGGTAACATTGCTAGGATTAAGTGACGCTGTGTATGTCAAGGTCCTGGCACATAGTAGGGATTCAGACTAGCACCTGGTGGCCAGAGCCTTCTGTCTGTGAAGACCACTTCCCCTCACATTTCATGCACAAACCAAACTGTCCTTTCCCAGTCCTTGGTCCTCCAGCATGTGTGTTCATCTGTTAGTATGTATGATTTTTTTTAAGGGGGCGGGGTATGGTATCTATTCTTTGTTAGTCCCTGAGTTTATCTGTTTGGGGTAGATTGTGAATATTTATATGCACGCTAATAGATACACAGAAATTTTAGAAAACACACCATTTGAATAATCTGAAATTATAATTTTTTGTTAGAATGCGTAAATAAAATAAAGCACCATGTATATCTCCCACCAACTCAGAATGTATGAAAATGGAGTGCTAGATTCAGTTGTGTGGCCTGAGAGTATAACTCCACTCGTGAAAACTGACTGATAACATTGAGCATGTAAGTAGTAAGGTTGTGAGAATGGTCTTTGTGTAAGGAGGTGAGTCCTTTAAATTCAGTACAGGAAATTGAGGACTGTTAGGAGCTAGGAGAACCATACCAGCTATCTCAGAGTGGCCCATGGTGTTTTCTGAATCTGGTGTTGCCAATGTTTGAGAATCAGATTGAGATTTCACGTAACATTTTAGATGTCGGGCTATTCTTAAACATTGGGTCTTCTGGTAATGTTTGGCTAGCATCCCTGCTTGGCTGTCATGGTGGCTCTGTTCAAATGGACATGTGAGGTTTACTTTGCCATATTTCCCACTACTCCCTGTTGCCTCCCAGGCATGAGCTGTGATTGATAATCAGTTTCTAGAGATCACGAGGCTCATGCCATTGTTCTCAGTCCTCTTCATTCCTTTCAGTGACTTACTAGCCTCAGTAGCCTTTTGAGTTGGCCTTCAAACACCTCTACCCACTGAGTTTGACTTCGCTCCTGAAATTACATCCAGAGTGCCCTCTCCTTGGCAATCTGCTAGGGCTGAACCATTCTTCCGGAGAGAATTGCTGGGCATTTGCAGGTCACAAGGACTGTGTGAACTTTCAGGAGGAACTGTTATTTAATGATTGATTCCAAACTCTCCCCTTTGAACATTTCAGTTACACCCAGTATTGTTGGCATGCTGCTTTTTTTCATCTGATAACTTCTTTCCCACCATGTCTCTGCCTGGCTCATGAGTGAGCAATGCCAGTAGTTCCTAAAACCCTATGTTCTTCTCACTCCTCTGAGCCTTAACACCAATCACCACCAGTCTCTACTGGCTTTTTTTAAAGACTTGTGTCGTTATTGATGTTAGTGGCTAACATATATGCATCCATGCTGGATGCCCTGTCAGCAGAGCCCCTGTGCCTTGGGAGCTACTGTTTTTAAATAGATTACCCTGTGAAGTGCACTAAGGTGGTAGACCTTCAGTGGTAGGAGAATATATTTAAGGCATGGCATGAGTGGAGAGCTATGAATAACTCCAGTTAGGGGTGTTTTTTTAAAAAAACAAACCAAGTTGCCATCAGGTAACTCCAACTCATGGCGACCCTGTGTGTTGGAGCAGAATCGCACTCCACAGGGTCATTAATGGCTCATTTCTCAGAAGCAGGTCATCAAGCCTTTCTTCCCAGGTGCCTCTAGGTAGAGTTGAACCTTTCTTTCTTTTTTAAGTTTTTATTGTGATTTGGGTAAAACTTTACAGAATAAATTGGTTTTCCATTCAACAGTTTATACACATTTTGTTCTGTGACATTGATTGCCCCACCATGTAACAGCATTCTTCCTACTTCCTCCTAGTGTTCACTGTTTCCATCTGTCCTTCTTTTTTTAAATTGTGATTTGGGTGAAAGTTTACAGAGCAAATTCATTTTCCATTCAGCAGTGAATATACATTGATTGCAATCCCCATAATGTAACAAGTCTCTTACCACTTCCCCACTGTGGTTACCTTTCCCTTGTGTTCTTCTTTCCTGTGTATTCCTGCCCTCTGAGCTTTCTCCCCATGCAGATGCTGTCCTTCTGATCTCCCCTGGTTGATTGTGCTAAAGAGTGTACCCACCTGGTGTAC